AATCTCCATACAATAGTCCCCCCAGTCCTTGGTATTACTTTCTGCAGTTTCAGTTATCTGTAGTCAACAGCAATCCCAGACTATTAAATCAAAAATTTCATATTTTGAGGGAGAGAGACCATATTTGTATAAATTTTATTATAGTTATATTGTTTTTATTATATTGTTTTAATTGTTCTTTTAAAAAAATTATTGCTAATTTCTTAGTGTGCCTAAGTTAGAAGTCAAACTGTCATAGGTATGTATGTGTAGGAAAAGACACAGTATGTGTAGTGTTCAGTACACTGGTTTTGGGTGTCCACTGGGGACCTTGGAACACATTCCTTGCAGATACTAGGGGATAGGGGACTACTATAAATAGCTTATTTGCCCTGCTTCTCTGGAAAGCCCCATTACAGAGGGCTCCAGGAAGGGTGACCTGAGAGAGAGAGAGAGAGAGAGAGAGAGAGAGAGAGAGAGAGAGAGACAGAGAGACAGAGAGACAGAGAGAGAAAATGGAGTTGATAGACTAATTATGAGTTGGACTATAACTTAAAAAATGTTTTACATTTTTGGCAGAGAGATTGTAGATAAGCTAATGATAGATATTTAAAAACAAAACTATGCAAGGAAAAAAACCCAAGGCAATTATTAACTCCAGGGAAAACATAAAGTGACACAAGAAGACAGTTTGGCTCAATTGTAAATACGGCATGTTAATTTAAGAGGAATGGCAGTGGTGAAAGAAGTTGTGTGGAACTTGTGGTGTGATTTAAAGTCTCATCTTTATTGAGGAAATTTAAAAAGACTTAAAATGAAAGTTTAAGAAATAGCAATTTTTTGGAAACAAAGAGGGAAGGAGCAAAAGAAACATCTAAAATCATGGAAAGCAGCTGCTTTTTTGCTGAGTGAATCCGGTGGGAATGGGTGGGACAGGGAACTGTTTATCATTGTAAGTCTTGCAGATCACTTGATCTTTTCCATGTCTGTACATGTTTTACTGTGATAAAAATAAAAGCTAAGGAAAAAGATTTTCTGGACCCAACATGGGAAAATGGGGGAGGTACAGAAAAGTAAAAAAGAAACTAATCTAATAGCTACTTGTGATTTCTGTTCTAAGAGAAAACCACTGTACACATTAGAGAGGGATGAATTCATGAGATTAAATTGTCAGAGTTTGAGGATTTGCAACATGGTGATTTAGATGTAAATGAAAAAGAACAAACAATATTATACCATATATGGTATAATTCTCTGTGTTTAATGTGTATTAAGACATAGTCTGGAGGATGCTGGGAGTGTAGTTAAGTGGTAGAAGTTTAGAGTGCATGAGGCTCTGGGTTCAATCCCCATACCCAATGCCCATTTGGTTACCCACCAAATGTTACTTGGTAACTGTGTTAGCAGGGCTGGGACTAAGGTAAGGCTAGTGAGGGTTCCAGGACCAGCAATGTACGGTCTCAGGGTTGTGTAAGGTCTCAGCAGGGTGAATGTCTCCTTAAATGCTGTACTCTCCACATCTCACAGGTGTCACTCTGGTCTGGACCTTGGACTGCTGGATCACAGGCCTTTTCCCCTTCTTATTTTGCACTTATACATATGTGTGCATTCCTTGCCACTCCAAGTATGGTACTTGTTCCAGCAGAGTCAGCATCAGTCGGGGGCTTGTTTGGACTGAAGATGGAGATCAAACCCAGGGCCTTGTGGATGATTGTCAAGTACTCTGTCACTGAGCCTTCCCTAGCCCTAGACTCTGCATTTTCATAAAATCCCAGGGGATTTGTGTGCTTGTTAAAGTTTGGGAGGCAGTGGGCTGGCACACACCAAGCCCAGTTCCAGTCCTCTTATGGAACACTCAGAGTCAACTGATCCCATTGCCTGTAATGAGTAGGGCACACACTGCCAGGGAGTAAGGTACCTGCCCTAAAGAGGGTAGAGAAAATAGAGAAAAGAAATGTATAGGAATTGTCTCTGGTCAGTGTTCTCATTTATTGGAAGTCAATTAGTGAGAGTCCTGCTAACTGTTCTTCAAATAGATTGATTGGATGAAACAACAACAACAAAGTCATGTGTACTACCATGGCAGACAACATCGGCTGGATAACCCAGTATTTATTCCCAAACCTTTCTTCCTGCTTGGCTGGATTATAGTGCATAACAAATAGAGTACTTGCTTTCCCAGGAAGCGTGGCCATGTGACACAATTCTGGCCAATGACATTCTAAAAATCTACTAGAATCCTCCCACAAACACATAGTAGTATTGGGGATTGAACTCTAAGCCTTCACATTGAGCTACATCCTCAGTCCATTTTTTTTATTGTGAGACAGGTTCTCATTAAGTTGCCTAGACTGGGCTCAAACTTTTGGTCCTCCTGCCTCAGACTCTCTGGCAGCTTAGATTACAGGTGTGCACAACCACACTGGCTGCAGAGCCAGATGTTGAAGCTGGTGGGGCTGATGTCATTGACTGTGGATGTTGAATACTAGGACCTAAGCTAGGGCCACACCAAATTCCAGAAACCCCATGAAGCAGCTACCATCCTCACCAGGATGGACTCACTTATTTTTCAAGAGTGAGGTGAACAGGTAAGCATGACATTCCCCTGGGTACCAGATTTAAGAGTCAGGCAAACAAACTCAGTAATCAAGATAAATAATATTTCAATGCAATATATTTTTTATGGTACTGGGGATTGAATGCAGGTCCTTCACACTAAGCTACATCCATAGTCCCTTCCCTAATATTTTTTTTAAAGAGACAGGGTTTCACTAAGTCACTAAGTTCCCAAGGCTGGGCTTAAACTTGGAATCCTCCTTCCTCAGACTCCCAAGTAGCTGGGAGTACAGGTGTATGCTATGATGCCTCACTGGAGGCCCAGATGTTGAAGCTAATGGGGCCACTATGGTTGGCTCAATGTAGTATTTTTAAATAAAAATTAATGCAAAAACCTTTAACATCAAAATATAAAAAATTTAAATATCAAAATTTAAAATAAACCAAGATCTGAGAGTATAAGACTTAATGCAGGTGGAATCATCCTAGTGTCCTAGGAGAGAGAATATTTGGAATTCTCAGTTTTGAAAGTGGGAAATATATGAAAAGGCTTCTGGGGCTTGGGTGGCCAAAATGAACAACAAATGTCCACAACTCTTACTGGAGTCTTGGTAAAATGTCATCCTTTGAGTTTATGTAGGGATAGCGACATATTCTTCTGGGCTATTCTGAGTAAAACTTTAATGTTTAGCAGAGTTGGAGTACAGATAAACTGACACAGGAGGATTGAGAACAGAGAGTGACTCCCCTGAAACGAGGAAGTTCCTAGGGGAAGACAAGACTGGAAGTGGGCTTTGGAGGAAGACAAAGGGGCAAGGAGAAGAGCTTCAGATTGGCAGTCAGGAAAGAGGCCCCTGCTGGGCTACTGGGCTCACTACCTTTAAAAATTCAAGCAGCTCATTTGACTTCTCAGAGGCAGATTATTGGTACAGCCTCATCCTGTGTGAGCACCAAAGAGTTGTGATTATCAACTGGGATTCAATGAGTGGAAGCTGTTTGCGCATTACAAAGCACTATGTTAACATCTTGGACTGTGATGAAGTGGCTAAGGATGGGCAAGACTTTGAAAGGAGGCTTTGGGAGGAGAGGCTTCTGGCAGGGAGAAGGAAAGGGAAAGCAGTCTGTGAGGCTGGACAACAGGAAAGTGGGGCCTGTATTTTTCAGACCACAAAGGAAGCAAAGCCTGGGATCCCAAGCCTTGAAGGAGAAAACCAAGTCGGATGGCCTCACCTCAGCTCTAGAGGGTGGGCCACCAAAACACGGATCACAAAGTGCAGGGGAGGAACGCCCAGAGCAACCTTTTCTGGGTCCCTGGGTGGCCCCTATGGAGGCAGGTAGGGCCCATGGTATTCATCTTTGTTTTGAGGAGCCTGGCCCTTTGGAGTTGAGAGCACTGGGCCCAAAGCTCAAGGATCAAGTGATTGGCCAAAGGCTGGTGAACTCGGGACCTCTTTACTCCCCAAGTGGCGCAGTCTAAGCATTGCAAAGCAGATTGCGTACCTTGGGAAACTCTCCTGACAGCCGTTGCCTGAGGTTTGGAGCCCAACTGATTCCAGGTGAAACAAGTTAATCCTAATTTTAAGGAAGGGTCATTGTGGCCGAAGAGTCCAGTAGACATAAGCGTACAATGATCGGAATCAAGGAAGGTGAAAAAAACTATACGGTGATTAGATTGCATAGAACTACAGCTTACACATTCGTGCTCAGGAGTGCATGCCAAACTGGTTAAATCCGAGCAAGCTCTGTCATACAGGTAGTTGTATTGCTCTAGTTCATTGTATTGTGCTAATAATGTTAATTTCCTGCTTTTGATAATGTATCTTAAAGGAGCCGTTGACTCAAGCTGGGTGGGTAATGGGTATACGGAACTTCTCTGTACTCATTTTGCAACTTCTTGTGAGTCTGTAATTATTTCAAAATGAAAAGTAAAAAAAAAAACAAAATAAGAGAACTTCCTCAGCCCAGCCTTGTCCGCCCGGAGACTGCCCCATTCCGCACTCGTCTGGCCTCACCCGGGCCTTGCCCTGCCAGGGCAACTGGGTGAGGGGTGAGGGGTGAGGGTAAGGGGGCGGGGCCGCGCAAGCGCAGTTCAGCCGACCGGCCGCGCCAGCAGCGACTAACGCATGCGCAGGTTCAGGCCCGGCCCGCCGCGGTAACCCCTCGGCGCGGCGGGGGACTGGGTACCTTGGCCCCTCTGCCTTGCCGTCTTTTTCGGCAGTTGGTGCGTTTCCTGTTGTCCTCTCCGCAAAGACTCCACGGCGCCTACTTCAGAGCCCGTCGCGCATCTGACGAAGGGCTGCGCCTTTCAGCACGTCGAGAGCCTTGGCCCGGCGGGCGTCTACGGCTGTTGCCCGCCAGCCCTGCCTTCCCGGGGCTCTGGTGAGTGGTTGCGGCGTCTCCATCCAGCCCGGTCTTTTTCCCTCCCGACTCCCTTTCTCCCGACTCCTTCTGGGCTCCCCCCTTACCGCCGGCGCCCCTCAGGTCTGTCCTCGCAGCCCTTCAGCTTCTCCTGTCTGTCCGTCTGTCCGTCTCCGCCGCCGTCTCCAGAGTTTCCTTATCAGTCTTCTCCTTTCCCTGCCCCTGGCTGCCCACCCCGACTTTTCTTCGAGTGTAGCCGGGGCGGGGAGCGAGACTCTCCTCTCCTTAACGCGTTGCCAGCATTGTTTGCACGCTGCCACCAGCCTCGGTAAATTTTTACCTCCTTTTTACTGCCTCCAAAAGTCCACGCTGGGGTGTGGGTCCCTTTAGGGCACTCAGCTTCACATAACCTTAAAATCACAGGCGATGTCGTGAAGACTCAGTGGAAAAGGTTCAAAGCCAGAGGAAAGGAAAACTCGATAAAAAGAGGAAAGTCTGTCAGAAAGTGTGCTCCTGGCCAATCGACCAGGTTCCCAGTTGTGCTCTGAAATGACTGGAAGACAGAAAGATAAACTTACTCTCTCTAAAATGGGTAGAGGAAGGTGGAGTGCAGTAGATCCAGTGCTTTCTCTCCCTGACAACTCGCCGTGGCTGTGAATTAGCCAGCCAGTGCATATGGTTCCCCTAAACAAAACAGCCACAGCCACAGGAACAGGCCCCCTCCCCCCAAACATTACAAATCAGCTTCCTCTTGGGAGGACAACTCTGTCCTCCAACTCTGCAAACTATGTCCCGTCCTCTGTTACTAAACATAAAGAAATGGACATCAAAAATGAGTGCTTTCCTAGTTAATTATTTTAAGGTGCTAAGTGCACAACACTTAGAATAAGATAGGAGAAGAGTATTCAAACAAGTATAGATCATGGTGTATGCTTTCCAATGCATTACAGTTCAAAAGGAGCGATTAGACATGTAACTCTTAAGGAATCATTTGAGTCTCAAGGTTGAATTGCCCAGATGAAAGGTAATGGATTGTCAGTCACAAAGTACTGGTGAGAGTGAGGATGTTTATAGAGATAACAGAGTAAGTAAGTACTATTGTAAAGTCAGTCGTGGGCCCGAAATTCCAGCACTCGGGAGGCAGAGGTAGGAGGACTGCCATGAGTTTGAGGCCAGCCTAGGCTACATAGTGAGCTCAAGGCCAGTCTGAAGTATTTAAGTGAGACCCTGTCTCAAAAAAAATCAATCAATCAATAAAGTCAACCTGCCATAACTATCTAGATTAATAAAACAGTGATTTTCATTTAACTATTTTTTGAGTTTGGGATCCCTACTGAGTTTTATGAGAATCACATCCTTCTGTTTTTAAAAACTTTTAAAGAATTTCTCACCTACTATTTCCTAATTCTAGAAGTTGTAGGAGAATGAAACCTACAGGACCAGGATCCCAGTAGCTTGTGGATTAGGGCAGGAAGGCTTGAATATGAGGGAAAGCACTGTTTGTATAAAAAGTGCTTGGTTGGCCCAGTAAACTTATGAATTCCTATTGGGCAATATTAATTGTATCTTTTGATTAAAATTATTAGAATTAGGTGAAATTTTTTGAGTGGAGGAAGAGAAGGAGGGTTTGAAGAAAGGTTGGAGGGAAAGACAGCCCAATGTGGTGGTACACTCCTGTAATTCCAGCTACTTGGGAGGCCGAGGCAATGGAATGGCAAGTTTGAGGCCACCCTGGGCAATTTAGGAAGACCCTATCTCAAAATTTTTTAAAAAACGAAGAAAATGAAGATGAGAAGGAGGAATGGGGCTGTAGCAGAGAGGTAGAGCCCTTGCCTACCATGTACAAGGCTCTAAATTTTATCCCCGGTAAAGATTGTATTGTCCTTATATATGAGTATTTTTGAGAACACTTATGTCTTAGTTACTATTCTCATTTCTGGGACAAAATACTCAACACCCACAAGTTAAAGGAGGAAAGGTTTATTTAGCTCACAGTTTGTAGATGTTTCCGTCCATAATTGACTGCCTCTAAGGGAAGGTGGTGTGGCAGAGGGGCATCACAGAGGAGAAACAATTCATGGCAGACAGAAGGTAGCAAAGCAAGCAAGAGGCCTTAGCAGCTTTTTTCTGCCCCTTTTATACTCTGTGTAGGCTACTGGGCTTAGGGTGATGCCAAACCAATCAGTGGACTGATTTAGTAATCACACACTCTAGATCCAGCCACCTCTGAAAAAGACCCACATATGATCACATGAGGCTTTTGGGGGGACATCAAGACAAACTGTAACACTTAACATCTTTTTTTTTTTGGTACTAGAGATTGAATCCATGGCTTTCACACTGGGGTACATCCCTAGTTTTTAAAAATTTTTTTATTTGGAACAGGATTTCATTAAGTCACTAAATTGCACAAACTGGGCTTGAATTTGTGATATTCCACCCTCTGCCTGGGATTACAGGCATGTATTACCACACCCACTTCCTTTTTAATCTTTTTAAAAGTTTAGGAAATGGCAATTTAAATAAGTCAAAACTTTTACTTAGTTTTTATATACTCATCACTGTAAATGTACATCTTGTGTTCATTTAGCTTTGTTGGCCAAAATCACTAACTTGTTTAATTTACTCTTAAATTATGAGTAAATTAATTGGTTGCTCATTTATATGGACAGCATTGTCTTAAATGCTCTCAAATTGTATTTTTATATTGAAATTATTTCACTTGTTAAAATGTAACTACATATATGTAAAGAGTCCCCAGGAATTTTCAGACAAGGGAGAAGTACGTAGCCCTTACTTGTTTTTTCTTTTTTAGTTCTGGTTTTAAACTTTATTCACTAAACACAGACTGCATGTGGTTTTCATTGTGGGTGGAGGGGTTCTCATTGTGAGTGGAGACTGACAAATAAGGAACCACACCCATGCTTCATAAACTAGAGGTTTTGTTTTTTTTTTACAAATTCCTCCAGTACTATCCAAAAAACATTTCAGTTTGCTTTAGTATTAGTAAAAACCATAAAAAAAAAACATTTTATAGTAAGGTAGCCCTAGGTACAATGTCTTGAATTTGTCGTTACAGAATCATTTTTGCACAAAATAAATCAAAATGTTTAACTCTGAGGTAGAGCCTTGTTTTTGAATCGCTGCTGTGAAGAGATTACTCTATCATTTTTTGCCCAAGTATTTTTTTAAAAAAACTCCGTATATTAAGCCCATTTTCTTAGTAATAGCAAGTGTTTTCACATTCCATGCAAGTCTTGTTTAATCCACAAAACAATCTGAAAGGCTACTAAGCGTTAAGGGAGGAATCTTTAAGAAAACTTCATAGAATGGCCCTTGGACCCTCATGATTTTTACTTAGTTCTATATTGGAATGAAAAGACAGAAGGCAAGATAAGGATAAAATATTGAGCACTATTGCCAGTGGTGGAGTAAGTAAGTTAGTGAACAATATAGCCCAATGTGATAATATAGGTTGGCCAAAGTATCTGGGGAGAAATGAGATTTTAAGTTTAGGAAATAAAAGTTATTATATACATTTCTAACCTGTTTGTGTCTCTCTATCCTAGTACTAGGGATTGTCAGGGCTTTTGCAGTGAGCTACAACCCAGCCCTTTTTTTATTTTATATTTTGAGATAGGGTGTTGCTAAGTTGCCCGGGCTAGACTCAAATTTGAGATCCTCCTGTGCCATGCCTGCCTGGCAAGTACAGGGTCCTGAGTTTGATCCCCCGCTCACCAAATTGTGATCCTCCTGCCTTAACCTCCCAGGATGTTGATATTACAGGCATGTTCCGCCATGCCCAGCTGGTATTGTTTTTTTTCTTATGTAAAATGAGGAAGTTAGGCTCTCTTGTTTTTAAGGTATCTTCCATCACTATAATTGATTGTATTTTTTCCTTTGTAATATTGTCTCCTTATAGGTCTTTATTGTAACTTGTAAATATAATTAAACAACTAGCAGACATTTATCAAATAATTTAAGCTGTGTCAGAGCATATATAGGCCTGTGCATTTAAATCATAGATTAGTTTTTTAAACTATAGAAATAGAAAATCTAAAAGTTATACTCCATTAACAGTACATGCTTATTGAAGAAAATATGCAGCAAAACATGGTAAAACCCAAGCCAGAATAAAATTACCTATTATAGTCTCACTGCCTAGAATTAAACCACTAAGATTTTATGTATCTCTAACAGTTCTGTATCTACATATAATATGCACATATAATAAACACAAAAGTGAGGTCATGATATACATTTTTTTTTTGATCTGTTCTTTTCACCTAGATTCGAAAGATTTTCTCTGACATTAAATAATTAAATATAGGGCCAGGGATTTAGCTCAGTGGTTCCACTGCCTGCCTCACAAACATAAGGACCCGAGTTTGATCCCTGGTGCCAAAAAAAAAAATAAAATTAAATATATATTTACTGTCTATTTATTTCATTGTTGGGCTGTGACCCAGAAACCCCACCCATACTTTTGTTCAGTTTTGTTTTTGTATATACATGTTATTTCTGGTTTTCCTTTGTCATTACAATGCTGTATTGAACACCTTTGTGTATGAATCATTATGGGTCTATCTTGATTATTTTCAAGGTAGTTTCCTAGATAACAAAGAATGTTATTCTGTGTATATACAACCAATTTTTAATTTATGCACGTGGTATTAAAATCTTGTTCTCTTTCTTTCAAAAAATACATTGTTTGTTGTAAAGATATGTTCTTTTTTCTTTTTGGTCCCGGGGATCAAACTTGGGTCCTTGTGCTTGTGCAGCAGGTGGCAAAACCACTGAGCTAAATCCCCAGCCCATGTTCTTATGGTTTTTAGGTTCAAGTAGAGTTGCTTCTGATTGTTGTTTTTTCCTTTTTTTTTTTTTTGTGGTACTGGGGATTGAACCCAGCACCTGGTGCGCGCTAGCCAAGCACTCTGCCACTGAGCTATATCCTCAGCCCTTTTTCTTTTCTTTTTTGGGATAGAGTCTCCTTAAGTTGCCCAGGCTGGCCTGAAATTTGCAATCTTCCTGCCTCGGCCTCCTAAGTAGCTAGGATTACAAAAGTGTACTGCCACACTGGGATACATGGTATTTCTACCATGCATCCATTGCATTTTTTTTATTTTCTTATTAAATTGCTTCCAACTTTTCATAACAGAAATTATGGCACAATGAACATCTTTTATTTAATGAACAGTCTGTGTGTGTACCCTTAAGAATCTGTGTGATAATTTCTCTAGTCTTTCTATAAATGGGTGGAGTTTCTGGGTCATAGGACCTTACTATGTACTTATTTTCACTAAGTATTCTGTTTGTCTGACTTTTGTTGCATATTATGTGAATGTCTTCCAGAAACAAGTTTGTGTTTCTACCAGCGGGGCTGCAGAGTGCATAATTGGTTTATGGTAACTCAAAGACTTTTACCTCTTCTTTCTTTGTTTCTAGCAGCCATGGCAATGACAGGCTCAACACCTTGCTCATCCATGAGTAATCACACCAAGGAAAGGGTGACAATGACCAAAGTGACACTGGAGAATTTTTATAGCAATCTTATCGCTCAACATGAAGAACGAGAAATGAGGTAAAGAGTTGTTTGAAAAGATTATATCAATTGTGGCATTTATGTTTAGTATCGTAAAAGACACTCATGATGTTGTTGACAGGAGACCAGAGTAGTACTGACCATGTTACACCCTACCCCACTATCATGCTATGACAGTGTGACAGCTTTCCAAAGGCCTTGCCACTTGCTGGCAGACCTGGGTTTAGAATCCTGCCCGTGTTATTCATTGGTATGTGAGGCTGGACCTAGTTCCTTAGTGTTTCTGTGTGTCACTTCCCAAATCATGTTGATGGAGATACTACTGTTTGTCTTGGAGGATTGCTTGGAGTTAGATATAGCAAGTTAGTACTCACCATAATAATCCTGTTAGTCAGTTTTTTTGTTGCTATAAAAATACCTGAGAAAAACAATTTAAAGGAGGAAAGATTAATTTTGGCTTACACGGTTTCAGTCCATGGTTGGCTGGCTCTGTCACTTTGGACCTGAGGTGAGACAGAGCATCATGTCATTGTGACTGTGTGACAGAGGCCACTGCTCACCTCATGGCAGCCAGAAAGCAGAGAGGGACTGC